CATAAAATAAAAAGCAGTGCTGAATCTTCACAGTTCTATTAGAGTTGTTTATTAACAATGGTTTTAAATATACAGGATAAAAGCTGTGAGTAATGGTTAAATCTTATTTCTAACCTTTTTGTAAGTATATACCATCTTCCCATTTTCTCATGTTTGTAATATTTTAGAAATACCAACAACAGAGGTGTACATGTTTGTAATATTTTAGAAATACCAACAACAGAGGTAAACTTATATGTGTCTTTAAAATCATTGTAACCATATCTTTCTTATTTGAAAAGAGTTGTTGGTTTCTATCCATCTCAAATTGTTATATGTTGACTGATATAAAATTTCATCATTTTATATTTTATTAATTTTTGACATAATAAAATAACTTCCAGCCCATTATTTTGTAGGTGATAGTCACAACATAAAAATAATTTCAATATAAACATGGCTAATAATTTATAAAACATTTCATACATATCTGAAATAACCTACATTCTTTATTTCATGTAGTGTCTGCATGTGTGTAAGTGCACCCATATCATTTAATGCCTTGGGGGTCAGAAGAGTGCATCAGATTCCCTGAAACTGGAGCTATGGACAGTTGTTAGCCATCATGTAGGTGCTGGGAATCAAACCCCTGTCCTCTGCAAGAGCAGTCAATACTCTTAATCACTGAGCCATCTCTCCAACCCCAATTTTCTTCTTTTACAGTGGTTTTACTCTTCTTCCTTTATCCTTCATATCCTTTACTCCTACCTTAACTAGGCAAATGGTTGAGCTATTTGCTCATTTTCACCACCCCCTTTCTCCCTCTCTCTCTCTCTCTCTCTCTGCACGTGCACACACAAAGGCATGTGTGCATGTGTGTGTCTTGGATCACTCAAATCATCTGATTCATCCACCTGAAGTCTTACTTCTGAAAGTGTTAGGTGTTGGGTCCTGGCAGCACTTACAAGCTAGGCTCAGTTACCTGACATCACTATGCCAATTAAAGAGACAAATAACGATGAAAAGCAAAGAAGGGAGATTTATTCAATGTGAGCACATTCAGAAGAGGAACAACTAAAATGATTGGATGCCTCCAATGTAGCCATCTAGGCAGGAGCAAAGCTACTCTCAGGAAAGACCCTTGTGCCACACCCATTCTTTAGACACCAGACTATTGAGACAATGGGCCCAAGGGATGGGAATTTCCCCCGAAGTCTCCTGCTGGGGAAGAAAAAGACTGGCATTTGGATTCCTCCTATCAGTACCCTGAAGACGGACTTGTATGTGGGGGTAGGTGCTCACTGGATCTCTGCATTTGTTCCTCTTTGGTCACATAGAATACATCTTTCTTTTTTTTTTTTTTTTTTTTTTTTTATTTTTTTTTTAATTGGCCTGTTGAGAATAGATTGCTGAGCCTAACATACTGTCTCTCACCCTCTCTCTGTACTACAAGTTGTCAAAACTATATTAAACCTCTTTTTGGGAAACAAGTTCCTCCACAGGTACCAGAGCTCATCCTTCACTTCTCTCGGAATAGGACTCCTGGGGGAGGTGAGTTATCTACCACTGAACGACCAGTGTGTTCCTTCTTACTTGGATAGTGTGACTTGGAGAATGTTCCTCTGACCCTGTGACGGCAAGCCATGGACCCGCCTCCTTCCCACCCTTTGCAAAGAAGCCACTCCCCTTCCCTCTTCCAGCCAACTGCTTGCAGGAGAAGGGCTAAGGGTGTAAAAGCTGGGAAAACCAGGAGGCTGGTCTCTCGCCATTTTGTAAGGCTATCCTGAACCTCTCTTCCAGCCAGTTGCTTGCAGGAGAAGGGCTAAGGGTATAAAAGCTGGGAAAACCAGGAGGCTGGTCTCTCGCCATTTCGGCAAGCCATGGACCCGCCTCCTTCCCACCCTTTGCAAAGAAGCCACTCCCCTTCCCTCTTCCAGCCAACTGCTTGCAGGAGAAGGGCTAAGGGTGTAAAAGCTGGGAAAACCAGGAGGCTGGTCTCTCGCCATTTTGTAAGGCTATCCTGAACCACAGGATTTATGTCTGGGTGTGGACTTTCAAACAAAGCCGTGAAATGGGTTGGGGGGTGCCTGCTTGTCTGTAAGTAAACCTTCACCCCCCCTCCCAAGCTCAGTTAGCAAGTCCAATAAACTCGTTAAGATTCTTCAAACCAGGGATTTGGAGAATTTTTTCCTCAGGCTATTGCAAGGACCTTGGGAGGAGGGGAGTGGATGCCACGGGTTGCACCTCCCAGCAGTGAATTTGACTTACAGATAGTCATGCCCCAACCCTAAAGCTTACTCCCTATTTCCTTGCTTCAAGCCCAGTTGCTGAAAATGTCCTCAATCCACTTATCTTTTCACAGGGGAAAACAACAGCCAATAAGGATAATGCCACGATGTCTACCAAGAAAACTGGGAAGTGACTTTTATTTTGCTTGGGAAAACTCCTTTTAAACCTTTTAAAGAGGTTTCTTTAAAAAATACTATCATTAGGTATGGGCTCCAACTTGTGATGCAGGTCTTAAATCTAATAAGAAAGTGGTTGCATTCTGCCATAACATTTGTGCTACTACTGCACCAGTGGCCATATTTTGCAAACTTTGCTATTGTAGCTCACAGAGTTCATAGCTGGTAAGGTTGATGATTCCCTTTTTTGCCAGTAACATGCTCAGCCCTTTCTAGTATTATGAAGGCTAGCTAGGAGAGATGAAGCTTTGAGGTCAGAAACAGTTTGATTTCTCCTTATTTGTTGTAAACACAGGTATGTAGAGTCTTTAACAATAGGGCCTTACTGTCAAGTACTGGCAGAAAACCAAATGCAAGGGCAATAGCTAGTATTCTTGGAAAGTCTATGGGACGTTCATGGTCAACAACTCCAAAACAAGGAGTCCATTCCTGACACCATAGTTTTCATTTGCTAGCCTGTGATGTTAAAGCCACTGAATCCCTGTTGTAGGGTAAATTTGTTTAAACTCTTTCTATATTATATATGTTTATTTTGAAAGAAACTTCTACAGTAGCTTTATGTATGACCTGACCATATATATGGGGCCAAGAACCAAAGGTTAGACAGGTCACATGCCATAAGGGAGAACCTACAACTGTTAAATTCTGCTAAATAGACATAGTATTAAACTGAGTCCTCATGACTTACTGTTCTACCCACCAATTAGGGCATCTCTCAACTCTCACCAGAGAAGTCCCTTCTATTAGCAGATGGCAGTTATCACAAAGACCCACACTAGTCAACGTGCAGAGAATAAGAGACTACGGAATGTTCAGCCCTAAATGGGACACCTGTATCACACCATCTCCTCCCAGAGCTCTAAAATCATTGTGGAAAAGGAGGCAGAAAGGTTGTAAGAGTCGCAGGTGGCAGATGAATACAAAGAAAGTGTGTTGTCTGGACACCACATGGCGGTGCACATATGAACCCACAGTACTTAGGACAGCATGCACAAAACCTGTGCAAAATCAAGTCAGACATGAGCCCAGCATGCAGTGGGGTGGTGGGCATAAAGCCCCACTCCTAACTGAGGATCTACTGGCAATTGATAGATCCTGGAAGAAGAAGAATCAGTTTTTCTTACTGATGTAACACAGGTAAGTTACCAGACTCTAAGGGATAATCTCATACCCAAGAGCATTTGGAGGACACAAATTAGATTTGATAAGCCTTTAAGAAAAACACAAATAATAATATAGGAAATGATGTCGGGAGGGATAATGAGGTGGGAGGAGATCTGAATATGATCAAAATACATGGTATAAAATTCTAGAATAACAAAATAATGTTCAAAAATAATATCATCCTCAGGTGGGGCAAAGGCAAGATGGTGGTTTCGAGATTGCCTCCCTGTGGAATGGTGAAATGCCGAGTCAGAGTTAGTGACAGGGCAGATGAAAAATACTGAGAAACAGACATGAAACTAAGGAAGAAGAAGGAAACAGGACAAGGCTGTAGCTAGGGAGCTGTGGTTGAGAAAAGGAAAGCAGAAGCCTCATACAAAAGGAAAGTCAGTCACTCAGAGGAGAAGAGCTCAGTCCTACCTAGAGCACAAGCCCGCAGCTCCCACAAGCCTTAAGTCCAGTGACTGACTGCAGGGGGGTGTCATGGATAATGGGAGGACTGGGGGCTAAGCGTAAAGACATTCATGCATTAAAAGGCACAGCGAGGCCATGAAGTGTGTAAGTGTTGGTAACCTCATCCTCAGTGGTGGGAGCTCAACTTATCATAACAAGTTGGGGCTGAGGTCAGTGGGAGCATCAACCTCTGGATCCACTATCTGACACAAGGTTCATTGTATTAAGATGGAGAACTTTGAATCATCAGTAGTCTATCTTCTTGGAATCTGCAACCTTATCCCTCTAGTAAGTTTAATGTCTACAGGGCTTTGAAACTGTGGATCCAGGTACACCTGTTCAGATCTCAGTACTACCCTTGATTTTCCCGCTTCCGATGTACTGGGAAGGTACTCCTTGGCTAGAACATTATCCCCTCTGACTGTACAAACAGGAATCTTGGGTGGTTAGGAGATGAGGTGTTCAGAACCCTGAAGAAACAAAACCCCAGAAGAATCTCTTCATGATATATTAGAGTCAAGATGTTAAATATATTAAGCAATGTTAGATAAAAATGTGGTAGGGGTCAGGATCACCATGAAACAGAAACAAAGAGGACTCTGGCAAAGAAAGAGTTTAACTGGGTTTGCTGAGTTTGATTGGGTTTGGCAGGACTGGTCCTCAACTCAGGTATGAGGAAGAACCAGCAGCCTAATGGCTGCAGAGGAGCAGCTTATAAAGGGACAGAATGCAGAAAAGGAGAATGATTTTCTACTGTTTGGGGGGCTGCTTGCTCAGGGAGGGCATGGGGTCTGTACCTGGTGAAACTTATTGAGGAAAACATCTACTGTAAAACATGCTTTCTACAATTACAGGCTTCCAAAACCTAATTGCAGCTAAGGGCTTGGGAAACCTGTTTGTCAGCCTGTGGAGCATGCTCTGGTGATCACAGTACATTGGTTATTAATTTCTCAGAGCTGCTTTTGTTAACTTGCAGGTGGTTGTGAGTTGGTTAACTCAGTTCCTGTTAGGGACCTTATGGTTTCTGGGTCTGGGGTCACCTGGATCTGAACCCTATCTGCAAAGAAATCAAAAGCTGTAGGTGAAAACACCAACTTACTTCAAAGATAAATATATAAAAATAATACCAGATCTCTCACCAGACATTCTAACAGCTAGGAAAACATGGAACAATACATTTCAAGCTCTGGCATTAAATAACTGCCAGACAAGATTTTGTAACTACCAAAGTTATTTTTTGAAAATTGACAGAGAAATGCACAGAGTTCAGAACAAATACAAACCAAAGAAACTCATGATGACCCAGTCATCATTGCAGGAAAAACTTGTAGAAATCCTAAATACAGAAGAAGAAGGAAAAGAGTCAGCAAAGAAAACCAGGGAAGAATAAGTTCCATGAGATGAACAGGTGACAAAAGAAAAATTAAACATGTTCATGTGTGTGAATGTGGAGGCCAGAGGACAACTTCAGATGTCACCAACCTTGGTGTGTGTGTGTGTGTGTGTGTGTGTGTGTGTGTGTGTGTGTGTGTGTGTCTGAGTGTGAGTTCGTGACAGATCTCTCACTGGTTTAGAACTCACCAAGTAGCCAACCAACCTCAGGATCCTTTAAAGTGCTGATAACAGGAGCACAAATCCCACAATGCCTGGATTTTTAGAATGTGGTTTCTGGGCCTCAAACTCAGGTTCTTTACCAGCCAAGTTATCTCTCAGGCATGGTGTGCAGATTTGTGGACATGCTTTCATTCCTCCTATGTAATGTCTAAAAGCAGAATTGACAGGATGTGAGCAAGGACTACTTCCTTAACATCCTGACCCTATTCTGACCTGTCAGTCTTTGCACAGTAAATCATTTTGATGGTATCAAATGCTTGAGATCTTTGTATATATTCTATGATGAATTTCATCTTTTTTTAAATTTTATATTTATTTTTTGGTATTTTTTGAGATTGTCTCCCTATAGCCCCAGTTGGCCTAAAACTCATTATGTAGACCAGCGTGGTGTCAATCTCATAGAGATCTGCCTACCTCTGCCTCCCGAGTGCTGAGTACTGGAATTAAAGGCATGCACCACCACGTCTGGCTCATCTATTTGTCTTTAAAGCACAAGAGCTCCGGGAAGGGATTGAACATGCAGCTAGATTTTTCTATTATGATTCTTTGAAGTTTGTGAATTTGAGGAACATATCTTTTGTCAATCAAAAGTGGGGGAAGTCAGCTGCACAAAATTAATACTCACCATTATCTTTGGGACATGGAAAAGGAGGAAGTGAGGCTCCTCTGCTTCGTTCTTCTCCAGGAAACGCTGTGACAATAATTGTGACAGTGACAAATATTATTTAGTATGTGATTGCCAGGAAGACATCACATTCAGCCTCCATAGAAAGTTAAGCTATTTTGATGATATGCTGACTAAAATTTAAAAAAAAAATTCTTTTTATAATTACTTACAGTTTGGAAACAAGAGGCCCAGTTTTATTATCAAAGTCATAAACGTCAGTCCTAGGATAACAGCTACCACTCGCCATGTTGTCAACAGGGGATCTAAACAGAGTAGGAAGGGAACAAGAGTGAGTTTCTCACTTCTCAGAGTTGAGAACCATGTCACTCTCCCTAGGTCATCTTCCATTTTCTCATTCTTCGGTGGGCTCATCCTGAGGTTAACAGTTTCTCAGTGGCCTTGAGTACCCCAGTTCTTTGCTGCCCTGATTTCCTCCCTGTTGAGTCTCTCTTGACTCATTTTCATTGTCTGTGTGGAATAGAGGGTGGCCACCTCATGGGCTTGATCATTCTTATTTGGGTATATTTACGTTTACCCCGCTCGGTTGTGCATTGGTGTCTCTTCCTCTTGAATCTTCCCCTGTCCAAACTTTTTAAGTTATTTCTCTAGGAGAGATGTTTCCCTCCAGTAGTTTCTACCTGTGATCCTATCTACTCACCCCAGTCCTTCCCAATTCTCTCAGCCTCTGTCTGGAGCTAGTTTCTTAAATCTAATTTCTTTAAGAACACCTTCCTCTTAACTAGTAGGAGACATTCATATATCTTCTGAATGTTACCAGGTAGATTATTAGTGATGGGATATTTTTCTCAAATATTTCTAAAATATTTTGTAGCTTTTTAACATCTCACCTTTAAATCCATTACCTCATTAAACATGAAATCCTCTAAGTATTATTTCCAAAATGTTGCTGCAACATTTTTCTATGATGTGCCATGCTTTAGAATGAATGGAATTAAAAGCCAGAATCAATAATTACTTTTAGAACAGTATGGAATAAATAGAAATTATGCAACTTCCATACAATTAAGTACACAGTTCTAATAAGTAATACAATTCTATTGGAATCTGGGTCAATGATATTTTAGGGAAAATAGACTCTAGGAGCTAATCTATTTCATGGTCATATCCTCAAATAGATAAGGAGATCAAAAGACAGTGTACTGTTAAAATTTTATGGTTTTGAGATGGTAATCTTCTAAATGCAAGAGTCAAGGTCGATCTTTGACTACATGTGGACACTTTTACACCTTTTGTTTTTGCTCTAACCAACAGTCTGTGAGATATTCTGTGAGATATTCTGTGAAATTTTAGCTTCTCCTGCTTTGTTGGCTCCTCTCTCTGCATTACAGGCCTCTGGTCTGTGTTGGAGTTTCTCTGCTTCTGTTGAAATTTGGAAGGTTCCATTTGTATGAGAACAATCTTGTCCTTGTTTGTTCTGTGTTTATTTTGCTGATTCTCAGGCATTTTTTTTTTTTCTGAAAAGACTGGAATAGCTTGAGCTCAGTCTTGATAATTTGCCTCTTGTTCTATAACTTTTCTGCAACAAAAGATAAAGAGTAAAATTTGAAATCTAAAATACTGAATAATAAGGCCAGGCATGATGGTGCATGCCTTTAATTCAGCATTTGGGAAGCAGAGGCAGGTGGATCTCTGTTAGATCAAGGCCAGCCTGATCTACATAGCAAGTACCAGTCCAGCTGGGACTTCAGGAAGACCCTGTCTCAAAAAGACAAATAAATAAGTAAGTAAATAAATAAATAAATAGAATATTGAGTAATAAATAGGGGTATACATACCCCTCTATATCCGTGATATAGAGGGTAAATTTCAAAACAATAAAAATGACCTGAAAAAAAAATAAGATAAGAAAATGGCAAGTAATCTTTACATCTTGTCAAATTTCTTTCTAAAAGTATTTTATATATGTAGATATTGATGCACAAACACACAAATCCACAAGCAGCTGTAGCAGTTAATTTAAGGAAGTGATGAGATTGTAAAAACGTTTTTGGTCAAATATTTGTAAGTGAATTTGTAAGTAACTAATATTTCTATTGGAAAAAATAACAATATCCACTATTTTAAGAAGAGATAACAAGATAACAAAATAATCACAGTGATAGAATCAGAAGGGAAACCAGTTAAAAGGAAGTTTCGCATGGACGTATAATACTCTTTTCACATAGTGTATACCAACACACTTTAAATAAACCAAAAAGTTAGATAGATGTAAACAACACGATAAAAATCTGAAAAGAAAGAAAAGGTAAATAATTTATAGTTTACCTACTGCTCAGTGCTCTTTGTTCAAATCACAGAGTGGATTTCAACTTTAAACACACTTTTGTTGATAAATTTCATCACAAATAGACCTATGAAGACACGTTTTATCATCAATCAAAGAAATACAAATGCAAATACCAATGGTACGGATTTTTTTAGCTATAGAAATAAACTGTAAATATACAAGTTGGACCAGGTATAAGAAAGGAAAAGAAGAGCCATTTGCATATGCAACTAGATAAAGTATGAATCACATCATCTACCTTTCTGAAAAAGAATCTGCCAGTAACTACAAAAAGTCAAATGACACATGTACCCAGCTGACTGAACCCTTATTAACACCAAGAAAATGAAGCAAACGTGTTGGTGAAATGATAAAAAAGGAAATTTTAAAAGCAAAAGAAACAAGCAAAGCAAAAGCTAGTGGGTTTCATAACTCTAGTGTTCATACAACAGTCACATAGCATTTTTTTTGGAAAATTTTCTTACCCAGCAATCTTTCAACCATCCTATGTTGAGATGTGAACTATTCCTCCAAATAGCACAGACACTTGTAAGATGTAATAAGCAAATTTACAAATGGTAAAAACATTTGTACTCACCCCCCTGCAGGAACAAAGCTGAATGCTTAATAAGAGAGTCTTGGGTATTTACAATACTCGCCCTGGATGAATAAATTTTACATGTAATAATCTGGTTTAAAATTTTCCAGACAAGATTTTAGGTTATAAAAAGCCACATATGATTATAGTCTCTAGCTCTGCCTCACCTGAACTGTTCTAATGTTAGTCTGCTGCTCCTCTCTTCCTCTTTCTCCATTTCCAGATGGATTCTGTGATGCTGTTTGAAACCCTCTACCAGGCCCTACCAGTTCTCTTCTACACTGCTCTGAAGCTACTAGGTTCCCGCTTGCTTGGTAAAATTGTATTCTTATGTGAAATTACATATTCCGTCAATGTCTGAGGTACTAAGTGCTTATAGAATAAGTCAGATTTACTATGATGAGAACTGATGACCACCAACCTAAAGAAGCTGTTTTAACATTGATAAGAATCCTGCTATCTTTTATGCAATAGCACTTTTACAGTTTTCAAGTCAATTTTATTATATATTCTTCATTTTTGTCAAATATCTGATTATTCCACATCTGCTTTTATTCTCAAAGAATGACACACATATTTATGACATTATTTTCAAAACCTGTGTGTGATAACAAAATTTATACAAACTAAATATTAATACTAAGAGTAAAATAGATATCATATATTTAGAGAAATGGTTATCAAGAGAACATTCTCAGTGGAATATAGTATTTAATATTTGTAATAAATTTGTATAGTCATTTTTGATCATTGACTCATAATCATAGGTTTAATATCTCTAGAAAATCTCTTATATGGCAAGAAACCACATTTGTATCATTGTTCTTGAAATGTGTATAATGGCAGTTAATGTCACTTCTAATAAAAGGCTGATTATAGTTTGTTACAAACCACAATGGCCTAAATTCTAAGCTTTCAGCGTCCATCATAACAACATATGCATGGTCAATTTTTGCATGCCAGTGGGAGCCCAGCCTCTGTTCTTCCTCTTTTCTGATATATTTGTGAGCATCTTTTGCTCAGTCTCATTTTATCTACACGTGCCTCATTTTTTCATTGACTGGAAATTTCTCATATCTCCTTTATGGAAGAGTTTCTGTTCTAAGAAATATACCTACAGAAATTGCCTCTTGTTACACCTCACCATTAAGCAGTTCACACACAACTCAGATCAGTATTTCAGCCAAATAGTAAGCAGCATTTCTGACCAGGCTGACTCGCAGGCAGAATTTCACATCCTCTGGAAGCCACAGATTCCACCACAGCCCTGACAAGGAGTGTTTGCTGTGTTTTGCCAAGTGTGAGCAGAAATAACTCTGCAAACACATACCTACTAGCAGGTATTTATTTCCCTGCTGATAGTTTTTTACATATACAATGCATTGGTTTTTACACATTGCAATGAATTGCTTGTTTATCACTTCTGTTTCTTGATTGTAAGAAATTACATCGCTTTTCCATTCTTCATAGCTTCTGAAAGAGAGGAAACGGTCTATCAATTTTGTTGTTTTTCTGCAACATACGGAAAACACTGAGATTGAAGATAATGTGTCTTTGAAGATAATGCACTGTTTTATATGATATATTCATTTCCCATTTTCAATTGGTTCAATGTTAACTATTTCAGAAAACTACTCTCAAATGCCCTGACTGTCCTATTTATGTGAGGCCATTTGAAATTCTTCATACCTAGTTCACATGAATGGCTACACTGTTCCTATGTACTGTCATCTCCATGTCTTAGTGCTCCATATATCACAAATACCGTGATGGGCCAAGTTACAAATATCTTCGTAACCTTACAGCTGAGATGGTAAATGATAGATGAAATGGATGGATGAATCGGGTCCATCGGGAGAAAGCACCAGGACACAGATTAAAAACTCCAGCAGGATAGTTTATTAGCAAAGGAAAATTTGCACGCCCCTTGGGGCAGGGAAAATGTCAGCCGACGTTGTGGGAGCTGCAGAAGTTGAGAACATATTAAAAACTTAGGCAGGAGCAGGGGAGAGCAGGGCTTATCAGAACAGCTTCTGTTAAAAACCGCCCCCTTCTGGCCTGCCTTCAGCCAGGATCTGGGTCATCAAGGTCATTAAAGGGAAACTATGCTGCCTTTAGCCAAAAGATGCAGAAAAGTCTGCTTCTCTTGACTTCAAAGACCAGGGTGGTCATTAACTGGGTTCCTGTGCTCTCAGGGGTTTGTGAACTCCTGGGGCCCTGCTACATTGGGGGAGGGAGTTGCTTAAATGTGTTTTTTTTAATTATTGTTATTATTATTTTTTACACCCACTTCCCATATGGCACCCTCCCATAGCCTCCCTCCCCCTACTAGAACCCTTATACTCTGATATACCTGCTACTGTCTGCTGTGTTGTCGGCACCCCCAGCCATTCCCCACTACTTGCCCTTCTGGTGAATCTAGTTAGCCTATCTAGAGGTCTTTGTTTTAGGAGGGTCAGCTGTTCCTCATCTAGCTGTAATCAGTTGTCAGTATTCCTTTGGATAAGATTGGGGTCTGCTGTTCATTTTCCCAGTTCTATGCTGGGTTACTATCTGGGAATCCCTTTAGCAAATAAATATTTGTTAGGTTAATTAACCTACAATTTCTATTTGAAATGATGTAAGCATATATTTTTACTTCAATTAAAGAATATGTATTATGTATAACTCAGAAAAAAGACTCAGGGAAATGAAGAGATAAAGTATATTTAGTATATGCTGGGTTAAGATATTTTCAGTTCTAACTTGTGCTTCTAAAGAGGTTGTGATTTTCTCCCAGTCAATGGGTTTCCTCTTCACTTCTTTGGTGGTTTCTTTTACTGTTCAGAAGTTTTATAGTTTAATGAGGTCCTGCTTCTCCATTGCTGACCTTAATTCTTGAGTGACTGATGTTCAATTTAGAAAATCTTTTCCTGCACCTATATTTTGTAGGGTACTGCCTATGTTTTCATTTACCACTTTTAGAGTTTTGGGTTTCATATTGAAAGCTTTGATCCATTTGAAGTTGAGTTTGTGCAGGGTGAAAGATAAGGGTCCAGTTTCATTCTTCTACAGATGGAGATCCAGTTTCCCAGCACCATTTGTTGAAGATATGGTCTTTCCTCCAGTGTGTGTTCTTGGCACCTTTGTCAAATATCAGGTGACTGAAATTGCATGTGTTCATGTTTGGGTTTTCTATTATGTTCTATTGATCTACATGTCTGTTTTTGTGCCAGTACCATGCTGTTTTTATGACTATATCTCTGTAATATTGTTTGAGATCTGGTAAGGTACTCTTTCTAGCGTGGCTCTTTTTGCTCAAGATTGCTTTGGCTATCCAGAGTCTTTTGTAATTCCAGATGAATTTTATGTTTTTTTTTTCCAGCTCTGTGAAGAATATCATGGGGATTCTGATTGGCATTTCATTGAATCTATAGATTGCTTTTGGTAGGATGGTCATTTTCACTATATTATTTTTACCAATCTGTGAGTATAGGATGTCTTCTATCTCCTGTGTCTCCTTTAATCCATTTCTTCAAGGATTTAAAATTTTCATTGTAGAGTGTAGAGCTCTTTATTGTTTCTAATTAGGTTTATTCC